CAGACACAACAACCTTTCGTGTCTGTCAGTGTGGGTCATGGGGGCCTGAGAGTGCATGGTAGAAACGATGCCAATGGTATACATAGGTGCTAAGCGAATTGGAAATATTCGTAATTTTGAGTGTTTATCACATTTTTCCGAATCTTAATTGTAGGTGTCCTATACTTGTAGCACGCTCCACACCTCTCGCTACAGTTCAGTTCCGTTGAAAGGAATGTCAGGAACGGACAAGGAAGATATCTCGTTTCGTTTCCGATGCTCTTGCATCATTGGCATTTGTCCTGAAGAATTTCAGTTTGGCTGACGGGGCAATGACCGAGCAGCTTTATGATATTTTTGCGAAATAATGAACCAGTCGTAATAAAACCGGGGGTAAGATTTATTTACAGGTGGGAGAAAGCAATTTGAAACTAAACGAGAGTGGCATTTCGACAATTATTTTATTACCACGGAAGAGGTGTGAACGTGCCAATTGATCGAAATAATAGCTCTGATAGTAACCGCCGAGTATCTCTTATTCTTCTGCAAAACCCTAGAGACCTATCAGTGTGCGAAAATGAGGGTATATCATCAAAACTATTCAAATCCAAAAATATGCGACCATTCAAACAATTTCTAGTTTAAACTTCAGCTATTATTGCCTTATTAGACTACAATGATTACCAATGTAATATTGGTGAGAATACGTATTGAGAGACCCAATCGATTCAGACATTGAAGAGCTTCGACATGTGTTCTATACGACATAGCAAGGATGTGCTGCGAGTGTTTACACGGATGTCGGCCCCTACAAGATGGCACTACAGCGGTTCGCCGGAGTCTGCCGATGTGCTTGTGGTAGCCCAGAGCGGAACTGAACTCTGTGGGTGAGTTCAACAACTGACCGCGATCCCCTCTCGCAAAACCTTTTTTCAGGAACTGTGGCGAAGAAGCAGCTAATGCTGTGGTGTCCGGGTATGAATACCAAGATCAACACATGCAAACGATTTTCTACGCTCAAGGACCATCAATCCAAAGGGCGGTGACCATACCTCCGTTTCAAAACGTCGAATTGATGAACTTGTGGATTGGTGAGGATCTCCCACTTGGTTGAACGAAACTATGGTAACAAAGATCGAGCTCAAAGGCTTGAATCCATCAGATGTCACGAAGGAGATTTTCTAGAACTTCTCAAGATGGAACATGTGCCAAACAACGGTAGTGTGGCCTTTGTTAGGCAGATCCTGTGGAAATCAAAGCCAAGATTCGAGCGGAGAAAGTTTGGAATAAGGTATGAGCTTACGGGGCTTTCCTGATGTGAAGCAATGTGTTAAATTTGAGAGAATGTCCGTACACGAATGAGGAATCGGTCATTGACTGCGGCCGTTGCACCGTACTTCAGCAGGTATCATGGTTTTCTTCTTAACTTCAAACCTATCCTACTTTATTGTTGTGCATGAGTGTTTGTGTATCTACTTTCACGGAAAAGCTTGTTTCCATCCTCAGCACAAATTGATGCCTAAGCCCCTTGCTTCCAGAGGGTAGCAGAACAAACGAAAAATAAGAGTTGGTTTTGATATTAATCCAAACATTCAATGAGGGCATAAGAACTTTGAATTCCTGCCGTAAACTGTCACAACTGTTGGCGTCGGAGAGCCAACTCCTGAAAACGTTGAAAGCGTAAATGTGAACGAGGTTCAGGTGAGACCATCGCCGAACTTACGCGTGGCTGTGCAGCTGCCATGCACTGAGTCACAAAAGCACTTCCGGTCCCATGGGAAGGAACAGCTTTTCCGTGGACGATTCCTTTGAAGGAGGATTCCACGATAAGAGCGAAGGTCAAAGAAGGGGAAAATTGCTAGTTGGGGAAAGGTGACCTCTGAGGGTGCGGACCGACGCGCAATTGGCAGCGAAAGATTTGACCTCGGCGATCTAGCATGGCTCACTCTTGGCGCAGTTGGCGCGGTACGCCCACCGACATAGCAGAGAGAGCGTTAGCGTTGAAGAGGGCACGATGAGAGTCGCATCAATGCGGAAATCAACGGGCAAGGAAGGGGTCCCATTTCTCGGGTTCCGGCCGTTTCTCATGGTTTTTCCTTCTTTCGTGTACCCTCAACTTAAGTTT